AGCGTGATTTAAAAGTCTTAGTTTTTCAAGATCCAAAAATTGCATTTCAAGATCTAAAAGATAGGCAAAAAAATTTTACAACGGTATTGCTAAAGGATAGTTCACGTAAAAATAAAATGATGTTTTGTATATTTGACACCAGAATTTTTGTCTAAAACTATGCAACGTATAACGACTCAAAATTTAAATAAATAAATAATACAATATTAAAAATTGTTGTCAAAGTGATAGGTGTTTTTGAAGATAAGAGAAAGTATTCAAATTATATTTGAATCTTATCGTAGATTGGAAATTGTCACAGAAATGGTATTAGATAACCCATTTTGCTCAGACATTTTCATTATTGGTAAGCTTTACAATTTGACGTTAAGTTTCTAGGATCTTCATTATAAAATTTGACAGACAATTTACCTGATTTTTATTACAATTATGTATATGAAAAACTACCAAAATACAAATTCCAATGAATCTGATCAAATTATATTAATGACAATAAGTTTTAAGAAAGAATGAATTAAATATTAAACTATAGCTCAATATATTTTCATCTAAATATGTCGGGTTTAATTTGAGTATATAAAAGAATTAAAATACACAGTATAGGATCAAAGTCATTAAAAAAATTGGTTAAAAGATATCTTGCAAAAAATCAGTAGTTTAGAGTTTTTAACTACATATTTTTAAAGATAGCTTTACATTTAGAATATAAAAACTTGTAAAGTTATAAAAAAAGATGATTATTTCATCATAAAAAGTACTAGGTTAAAGAGGAGTACATTTGCGTATAAACTTATTTATACGAAATAAGACCCTAAAAATAACTGCTGAAATTGATCATTGGGTGATAAAATTGATGCTCCTTGTGTTTTTTGCGGTTTACTGATTGTACTTATACCTTCCGTGAGGTAATTGTGTTGTTGAATAACTGGTGAAGTACTCATGACTAAATTCGCAGTGTTTCGAGGTCTTGTTGCCCTTCGAAGTAGGTCACCAGCATTTGGTTGCGTATCAACAAAATTCTGAGGTCTTTGAATATCATTATTTTGCAGTTGAGTATTATTACTCATTTTAGCAATATTTTTTTTCAATAAATTTCCAGAAAACGAGGTAAAGGTTTGTATTTTATATTTTTTAGTGTTTATACGATAGATTGTTTTAAAAAAATAGCGCAGCTTGTTTCAATTTATATGCACATTTAAAGAATAATTCGGAACAAACCGAATAATCCATATTATTCTCATATGCTTGAAATTGATATTGTTTTTAAAGTTACATTTTCAGCGCTTGATGTATTGGTCAGTTCAATAATTACACACATTTTATGCTATCGCCTAATTAGATAAATTTAATCTTATAGAACAAATTTATTTTAACCACAACAAGTAAGGTGGAGAAAACGCGTTACAAGATTAAACAAATTTATTCTAAATTCTTATCACATAGATTATGCAAAACACTTTCGTGTAAACGTGAACGTGAAGTACAAAGGACGGACATTAGCGAATGAAACATGAATATGCAAAGATTATTGAATATCCAAGAGATTTAATATATACCGGGTGCTCAAAAGTTCCAATACACAGTCCCTATTTTTTAAGTGACCTTATATATAGAAATAATTATAAATATTTACATATTTGCATAAATAATAATCGTGATCTCTATATATAAGGTCACTTAAAAAATAGGGACCGTATATTGAAACTTTTGAAACACCCAGTATTTGTCAGTAATTATAAATGAATATTTATTAATGCCACTAGTTACTGCTAAATTGCGCTTTATCTTATAAACAGATAGCTTTACATAGGAAGTAAACAAGTGATATTACTTAATATTAAACATTGCGGTGTATACCATTAATACTTATAATGACGCACCCCAACTGGAAATATCGGTATTACATATTAGTGACCAAATTTTTTCAATTTTTTTCAAACTTTAGGGCATTATAAATTTGATAAAATTTGATAACCAAATACCCGGATTCGGTGACTTAACTTTATAAATCCGCCACGATGATAAAATCATACCGTTTGTACTATATCAATATCAGATTATTTAGAAATTACTTTATCTGGCAAACTCTTATGATCATAAATAAATTTCTGCACATTATTTTTTTTTTTCATGTGATACGATGTAATCGTGTTTATTCAAATTAAAACTCAGTCAACCACTTACCAATCATGATTGGGCAAATTTGCGAATACAGTAATTTAGCAAATGATTGGCTGCACGTGCCGCTTTGCTGCACGTGTTCATTTGCCAAATTGCCGTTATTCGCAAATTTTTGCCCAATAATGTATATGTCGTACCCCAGATAGGAATCCGCCCGATTCAGAATCCGGCCGTCCCAATTCAGAATCGGGATAGCAGGATTTAGAATTCTTATACGGG